GTTAATTGGGGATGGTTAATTGGGAATGGATAATTGGGAATGGTTAATTGGGGATGGTTTATTGGGAATGGTGGGAATGGTTTATTGGGAATGGTGGGAATGGTTAATTGGGAATGGTTAATTGGGGAGAATTGGGAATGGTGGGAATGGTTAATTGGGAATGGTTTATTGGGAATGGTTAATTGGGAATGGTTAATTGGGGATAATTGGGAATGGTTTATTGGGAATGGTGGGAATGGTTAATTGGGAATGGTGGGAATGGTTTATTGGGAATGGTGGGAATGGTTTATTGGGAATGGTTAATTGGGAATGGTTTATTGAATGGTGGGAATGGTTAATTGGGAATGGTTAACTGGGGATAATTGGGAATGGTTAATTGGGAATGGTTTATTTGGGATGGTTTATTAGGGTTAATTGGGGATGGTTAATTGGGGATAATTGGGAATGGTGGGAATGGTTAATTGGGAATGATTAATTGGGGATAATTGGGAATGGTTTATTGGGGATGGTTTATTGGGGATGGTTTATTGGGAATGGTGGGAATGGTTTATTGGGAATGGTTTATTTGGGATGGTTTATTAGGGTTAATTGGGGATGGTTAATTGGGAATGGTTTATTTGGGATGGTTTATTAGGGTTAATTGGGGATGGTTAATTGGGGATAATTGGGAATGGTGGGAATGGTTAATTGGGAATGGTTAATTGGGGATAATTGGGAATGGTTTATTGGGGATGGTTTATTGGGGATGGTTTATTGGGAATGGTGGGAATGGTTTATTGGGAATGGTTAATTTGGGATAATTGGGAATGGTGGGAATGGTTAATTGGGAATGGTTAATTGGGGATAATTGGGAATGGTTTATTGGGAATGGTGGGAATGGTTTATTGAGAATGGTGGGAATGGTTTATTGGGAATGGTTAATTGGGGAGAATTGGGAATGGTGGGAATGGTTAATTTGGGATAATTGGGAATGGTTGGAATGGTTAATTGGGAATGGTTAATTGGGGATGGTTTATTGGGGATGGTTTATTGGGAATGGTGGGAATGGTTTATTGGGAATGGTTAATTGGGGAGAATTTGGAATGGTGGGAATGGTTAATTGGGAATGGTTAACTGGGGATAATTGGGAATGGTTAATTGGGAATGGTTTATTTGGGATGGTTTATTAGGGTTAATTGGGAATGGTTAATTGGGGATAATTGGGAATGGTGGGAATGGTTAATTGGGGATGGTTAATTGGGAATGGTTAATTGGGGATAATTGGGAATGGTTAATTGGGAATGGTGGGAATGGTTTATTGGGAATGGTGGGAATGGTTTATTGGGAATGGTTAATTGGGAATGGTTTATTTGGGAGAATTTGGAATGGTGGGAATGGTTTATTGGGAATGGTTAACTGGGGATAATTGGGAATGGTGGGAATGGTTAATTGGGAATGGTTAATTGGGGATAATTGGGAATGGTTAATTGGGAATGGTTAATTGGGGATAATTGGGAATGGTTTATTGGGGATGGTTTATTGGGGATGGTTTATTGGGAATGGTGGGAATGGTTTATTGGGAATGGTTAACTGGGGATAATTGGGAATGGTTTATTGGGAATGGTTTGTTGGGGATGGTTTATTGGGAATGGTGGGAATGGTTAATTGGGAATGGTTAATTGGGAATGGTGGGAATGGTTTATTGGGAATGGTGGGAATGGTTTATTGGGAATGGTTAATTGGGAATGGTTTATTTGGGATGGTTTATTAGGGTTAATTGGGGATGGTTAATTGGGGATAATTGGGAATGGTGGGAATGGTTAATTGGGGATGGTTTATTGGGGATGGTTTGAATGGATAATTGGGAATGGTTAATTGGGGATGGTTAATTGGGGATAATTGGGAATGGTTTATTGGGAATGGTGGGAATGGTTTATTGGGAATGGTTAATTGGGGATAATTGGGAATGGTGGGAATGGTTTATTGGGAATGGTTAATTGGGGAGAATTTGGAATGGTGGGAATGGTTAATTGGGAATGGTTAACTGGGGATAATTGGGAATGGTTAATTGGGAATGGTTTATTTGGGATGGTTTATTAGGGTTAATTGGGGATGGTTAATTGGGAATGGTTTATTTGGGATGGTTGATTAGGGTTAATTGGGAATGGTTAATTGGGGATGGTTAATTGGGAATGGTTAATTGGGGATAATTGGGAATGGTTAATTGGGAATGGTGGGAATGGTTTATTGGGAATGGTGGGAATGGTTAATTTGGGATAATTGGGAATGGTTGGAATGGTTAATTGGGAATGGTTAATTGGGGATAATTGGGGATGGTTTCTTGGGAATGGTGGGAATGGTTTATTGGGAATGGTTAATTGGGGAGAATTTGGAATGGTGGGAATGGTTTATTGGGAATGGTTAACTGGGGATAATTGGGAATGGTTAATTGGGAATGGTTTATTTGGGATGGTTTATTAGGGTTAATTGGGAATGGTTAATTGGGGATGGTTTATTGGGAATGGTGGGAATGGTTTATTGGGAATGGTTAACTGGGGATAATTGGGAATGGTTTATTGGGAATGGTTTGTTGGGGATGGTTTATTGGGAATGGTGGGAATGGTTAATTGGGAATGGTTAATTGGGGATAATTGGGAATGGTTAATTGGGAATGGTTTATTTGGGATGGTTTATTAGGGTTAATTGGGAATGGTTAATTGGGGATAATTGGGAATGGTGGGAATGGTTAATTGGGGATGGTTTATTGGGGATGGTTTATTGGGAATGGTGGGAATGGTTTATTGGGAATGGTTAATTTGGGATAATTGGGAATGGTTTATTGGGAATGGTTTATTTGGGATGGTTTATTAGGGTTAATTGGGAATGGTTAATTGGGGATAATTGGGGATGGTGGGAATGGTTTATTGGGAATGGTTAATTGGGAATGGTTTATTGGGGATAATTGGGAATGGTTTATTGGGAATGGTTTATTTGGGATGGTTTATTAGGGTTAATTGGGGATGGTTAATTGGGAATGGTTTATTTGGGATGGTTTAATAGGGTTAATTGGGAATGGTTAATTGGGGATGGTTAATTGTGGATAATTGGGAATGGTGGGAATGGTTAATTGGGAATGGTTAATTGGGGAGAATTGGGAATGGTGGGAATGGTTAATTGGGAATGGTTAACGGGATAATTGGGAATGGTTAATTGGGAATGGTTTATTTGCGATGGTTTATTAGGGTTAATTGGGAATGGTTAATTGGGGATAATTGGGAATGGTTTATTGGGAATGGTGGGAATGGTTTATTGAGAATGGTGGGAATGGTTTATTGGGAATGGTTAATTGGGGAGAATTGGGAATGGTGGGAATGGTTAATTTGGGATAATTGGGAATGGTTGGAATGGTTAATTGGGAATGGTTAATTGGGGATAATTGGGGATGGTTTCTTGGGAATGGTGGGAATGGTTTATTGGGAATGGTTAATTGGGGAGAATTTGGAATGGTGGGAATGGTTAATTGGGAATGGTTAACTGGGGATAATTGGGAATGGTTAATTGGGAATGGTTTATTTGCGATGGTTTATTAGGGTTAATTGGGGATGGTTAATTGGGGATAATTGGGAATGGTGGGAATGGTTAATTGGGAATGGTTAATTGGGGATAATTGGGAATGGTTAATTGGGAATGGTTAATTGGGAATGGTTAACTGGAGATAATTGGGAATGGTTAATTCTGAATGGTGGGAATGGTTAATTTGGGATGGTTTATTGGGGATAATTGGGAATGGTTAATTGAGGATAATTGGGAATGGTTAATTGGGAATGGTTAATTGGGGTTGGTTTATTGAGGATAATTGGGAATGGTTAATTGGGAATTGTTAATTGGGAAGGGTTTAGTGGGAATAGTTTATTTGGGATAATTGGGAATGGTTAATTGGGAATGGTTAATTGGGGATTATTGGGAATGGTTTATTTGGAATGGTTTATTGAGGATTTGGGAATGGTTAATTGGGGATTATTGGGAATGGTTTATTTGGAATGGTTTATTGAGGATAATTGGGAATGGTTATTTGGGGATGTTGGGAATGGTTAATTGGGGATTATTGGGAATGGTTTATTTGGGATAATTGGGAATGATTAATTGGGAATGATTTATTTGGGAATGGTTTACTGGGAATGTTGGGAACGGTTTATCGGGAATGATTGACTGGGATGATTGGGGATTGGGAATAATTGGGAATAATTGGGAATAATTGGGAATAATTGGGAATTGGGAGGAGTTGGGGTGGATTCAGCCAAAATCCAGATCGGATCCAGACACGATTGAGGTGAAATCCCCAGGAATTGCACCAAAACCCCTGGAATTACACTGAAAAATCCCAAATTTCCCCGAAATCCCTCTGGAATTCCCTCCCAAAATAAAAACCCCTCCCCTTCCTCCTCCTCCTCCCGCTCCCCCACGGCTCCGTTACCGCTGGGAATCCGGGAATTGTTGGAAGCGGCCATGGAATTTTCCAGATTCTGTTTGTCGATGGCAATGTTCTGGAGCGCTCCCTGAGCCTGGAAACTGGTGAATTCCTGGAATTCCGGGAGCCTCCAAACGGTCTCCTCGTTTTCCACGTGGAAAATCTCGTCGCCGTCGAAGTCGAACATGAACTCGGAGCTGTCGATCCCGGAATCCAGGGATTTTTGGTAGAATTCCGTCTGGGTGATGGTGTGGCGCACTGGGAATCGGGAATTCCGTGGGGTTAGAAAAGGGGAATTGGGGGTTTCTGCTCAAAATCCTGAGAAATTTGGGGATTTGTACTCAAAATCCTTGGAAAATTAAAGATTTCTGCTCAAAATCCTGAGATTTTGGTGATTTCTCCTTAAAATCCTGTGAAAATCGGGAATTTCTACTCAAAATTCTTGGAAAATTAAAGATTTCTGCTCAAAATCCTTGGAAAATTTAAGATTTCTGCTCAAAAATTTGGGAAATTTGGCAATTTCTGCTCAAAATCCTGGGAAATTTAGGAATTTATGCTCAGAATTCTTGGATTATTAAAGATTTCTGCTCAAAATCCTGAGAATTTGGTGATTTCTGCTCAAAATCCTGGGAATTTTGGGGATTTCTACTCAAAATTCTTGGATTATTAAAGATTTCTGCTCAAAATCCTGAGATTTTGGTGATTTCTCCTTAAAATCCTGTGAAAATCGGGAATTTCTACTCAAAATTCTTGGAAAATTAAAGATTTCTGCTCAAAATCCTTGGAAAATTTAAGATTTCTGCTCAAAAATTTGGGAAATTTGGGAATTTCTGCTCAAAATCCTGGGAAATTTAGGAATTTATGCTCAGAATTCTTGGATTATTAAAGATTTCTGCTCAAAATCCTGAGAATTTGGTGATTTCTGCTCAAAATCCTGGGAATTTTGGGGATTTCTACTCAAAATTCTTGGATTATTAAAGATTTCTGCTCAAAATCCTGAGATTTTGGTGATTTCTCCTTAAAATCCTGTGAAAATCGGGAATTTCTACTCAAAATTCTTGGAAAATTAAAGATTTCTGCTCAAAATCCTGGGAAATTTAGGAATTTATGCTCAGAATTCTTGGAATATTAAAGATTTCTGTTCAAAATCCTGAGAATTTGGTGATTTCTGCTCAAAATCCTGGGAATTTTGGGGATTTCTACTCAAAATTCTTGGAAAATTAAAGATTTCTGCTCAAAATCCTGAGATTTTGGTGATTTCTCCTTAAAATCCTGTGAAAATCGGGAATTTCTACTCAAAATTCTTGGAAATTTAAAGATTTCTGCTCAAAATCCTGGGAAATTTAGGAATTTATGCTCAGAATTCTTGGAATATTAAAGATTTCTGTTCAAAATCCTGAGAATTTGGTGATTTCTCCTAAAAATCCTGGGGAAATTGGGAATTTCTGCTCAAAAATCTGGGGAATTTTGGGATTTCGGCTCAAAATCCCTGGGGAAAAGGGGGTTGGGGACACAGAAAGTCCAAAAATCCTGGGAAATTGGGATTTAGGACTCCCAGACCCCCAAAATCCCGGGATCAGGAGGATTCAGCAGGATCCACACCCCAAAATCCTGGAAAAAGAGGAAGTTTGGGCTGGCCCAGCCCCAAAATTCCAGGGAAAAGAGGATGTGAGAACACCCAGTTCCCCAAATTTTGGGAACGGGGGGGGTTGGGAACGCCCAGACCCCAAAAATCCGAGAAAAAAAAGGGATTTAGGCACTTCCAGAGCCTGAAAATCCTGGAAAATTCTAGTTTGGGAACACCCAAACCCCCAAAATCCTGGGAAAAACCAGAATTTGGGAATGCCCAGATCTCCAAATTTTGGGTACAGGGGGGGTTTGGACACCCCCAGACTCAAAAAAACCTGGAAAAGAGGAATTTAGGCACTTGCAGAGCCCCAGAATTGTGGGAAAAGAGGAATTTGGGCTCTTCCAGAGCCTGAAAATCCAGGGAAAAGAAATTGTGGGAATTCCCAGTTCCCCAAATTTTGGGTACAGGGGGGTTTGGACACTCCCAGAGTCCCAAAATAAAAGGAAAAGAGGATTTTGGGCACCGTTATTCTGTAAAAATCCTGGAAATTGGGATTTGGGTACTCCCAGAGACCCAAAATCCTGGGAAAAAAGGGATTTGGGAATTTTCAGTTCCTGAAATTTTATGTACAGGGGGGTTTGGAGAATCCAAGCTCTCCCAAAATCTTTGGAATGGGGGGGGTTTGGGAAATCCCTGCACCCCCAAAATGCTGGAGAAAGAAGAATTCGACCACACCCAAACCCCAAAATCTCGGAAAAGGAGGAAAAACCCCAAAAAATCACAAAGTTGGGACAACGCCTTTCCCGAAAAATCCCCAAAATATCCCAAAAAAATTATCCCCACATTCCCCAAAATTCAGAGAACCCCAAATCCCAACCCAGCGCCTTCAAGACCCCCCAAACCCCACCTTCGACCCCCCAAATTCCGGGCAGGGTCAGAACCACCAGCAGCAGGCGGGGGAGGATCGGGAATCCATCCATGGCTCCAGGAATTCCCGGGAAATCGGGAACGGTCGCTGCTGCTCCCAGAAAAACGGCGGCGAAATGGGGGGACCGGCAGTGGGGGCGCAGCACCCCAAAAAGCGCTCAACCAATGAGAGAGAAGCGTCCCTGTCGCGTCATCGGTTGCCGGGTAGAGCCTCCAAAAAATGAGCCCTCATAAAAAAATCGGACCAATCAGAGAGCGGGACGCTGGTGACTCATTGGTTGCTGGGTAGAGCTTCGGGAAAACGGACCCCAAACAGAACGAACCAATCACACCGCGCAAAAAAAACTTCAGCCAATGAAAAAACGGGAAAAAACAAGCCCAGCCTATCAAAGCGCGCCCGAAAATCACTGCCGGCCAATCAGAGCGAGTGGGGTTAATGACCTGGAGTGGATGGGGAGCGGTGCTACCAGTCCAGAGCCGCTTCTTGGTAGCCCTTGGCCCCTGCCCGGCGCTGGCCATGGCGCGTGTGGCGACAGCTGCGGCCCTGCTGGTGCCACTGGTGCTGCTGGCAGCGGCCCCGGCT